TGAATATAATAAAAATATAACAATTTCGTAATTCCAATTTGAGTTATTACACTTAATAGTTGATGTAATGGAGAGTTGATGCAATCATTATTTTAAACTGAACAAGCAGTTTAGTATATTTTATCAGAATCAACCTAAATTAAATTTGAACGTGAAATTTTGTGTTGGATAGTTATTTATAAAAAATTTATGTATAATACGCCATTAAGCCCATTAAGGTAATTTAAAAACAAACATTCGTCCTTCTATACCTAGTTTTATCATATATTTTAATCTTATATAGGTATAGGTTATACACAATTATTATTATTTACGGCTTATATTATATGTAATGTATATGTAACTAATATAGATAAACCTATAAAAATAAATTCCAAATTAATCAAATCAGATTCATTATGTACCCAACAAACCAACTCACTCAGTCATTCATAGTAGGTATATAAAATGTATTATAAAGTATTAATATAAGTCATTAACCATATTAGCTATTAATATTAGAATATAAAGTATACTCTAGAATACTTAATAGATACCACCTCTCAAACCTATATAGGAATATTCTAATATCTTGGTTCAATTAGATCGGSATTTCTCACATAAAATTAAACCCTTATACCAACTGCATTTATACTATTCACTCAACGTTTTTATTGTTCTGTTGGATTTGTTTTCGATGGACTATAAAATATATTGTATTTATATAATTGATTTTTTTTGTGCTTCTATCATAATTTATAGATTTTAATTATTTGTTATGTTCTTACAACCTCCGCAAAACACGCTTACTATCTATCAATTAGTCACCGTCTATTTAGTCACCGTGACACCACCTGATATATTATAGCACGTTGATTGTTTATCATATATAATTCATAATAATTACCACCATTCCTGTTTTTTAAGTTGTACTTTCCGCATAACTGGCTATAGCATWCGAGTTCTAAATATTCGAAAATTCGAACATTCAAATTGTTCAAAAAAGACTATTTAATTTGGTAATGCTAAGCAGTCGTGCCCATCAACGTGTTAATAAAAGGACCTGTAGTTGTTTATAAGTATATTATGCGGTTAATGAAAAACGGTCGAAAACATTCTGAAACTAAGAATAAATCACACATAATATTATATAGAATAGTAAACATTGCAAAAAATTAAAGTATGTTTAAATTTGGTTTATGGTAGGCATAGGYGGTAGATAATAATAATTTATTTTACATGTGTTGTACGTCACGTATTATATGACGTTCAAGATTTAATCTGATATGTAAAAGATAAATAAGTGATCCACACAAGTATATTGCTATACATGCCTAAGTATAACCTGATCCTCGTTTGTGTTTCACAAATAAAAAACTACTTAGCACCGCGTAGTTGATAGAAAACTACGATTTGGACGTAATTTAAAAAAAAATCATTCGAAAACCACTACTAAGTATTGAAGATTACTTCAGAAAGATGTTACGATTGAATCATTGTAATTTATGATTTGTGTTTATTCAGCTAATAAATGTATTTATTTTTTTTCAAAATCATCTATAGATATTGTACGCATCGATTTATTATTTGCAGCAAGACGAGGTGCGTCGTCCTGGCACCCGTAAATTGTCAACTCCCCCCTAACATATCTAATTTTTTTGTACTCGATTTATATCTATATTTGTACCCTTCTTAAAAAAAATTGTACCCCTATCCTTTTTACGCAAAATCAAATCCCCCGTCCGGGAAATATAAAAACGGCATACTGGCAGTATAAGGATAGGGGTACAAATTTTTTTAAGGAGGGTAAAATTAGAAACAAATCAAGTACAAAAAAATGAGATAGGTCCTAAATCGATCGGTTGACTTCTGGTAGTTCCGGGTGCGAGGACGATGTCGTTTCAGCACCCGGATGGAGGATTTGATTTTCCGTAAAAAGGAAACGGATAAAAAATTTTTTAAGGAGGTTAGGTTAACAATAACGTTAATAGTTGTTATACGAACATATTTCGAAGAGTATCCAGGTGATCCTTATAAATTTAATCTTGATTTAATTGAGCTTCCTGATACATCAGCTGAAACAATAACTAAATTATTACTTGATTGTTTACAAAATTACGGATTTGAAAAAACTTTTTTGGGCGAATGTTTAATTGCTTTTGTATATTGTGATGGAGAATCTGTTATGATTGGAAAAAACTCAGGAGTAGCAATGCGGCTTAAAATGGCATTTACTCAATTAATTGTTTGGCATTGTTCCAATTACCGTTTGGAACTTACGGTCGGTGATGTTATCAACGAACTATCTAGTATAAATCATTTTAAAATATTTATGGACAAACTGWATGCTTATTATCACCAGTCATCGAAAAATTCAAATGAATTAAGAAAAATCGCTTATTCATTAGAAATACAAATTTTTAAAATTGGTAGAATTTTGTCAGTTTGTTGGGTGGCTTCGATCAAACGAACAGTTAATGAAGTTTTAAACAACTATTCGGCGCTTTGTAAACATTTTAGCTTGGCTTCAATGGATCTACAAGAGATTCTAGCTTAAAAAGTAAATACAGTTATATAATATGATGACAAGTTTACAATTTGTAATTAATTTAAATGCAATGTCTGATGCTTTAGATGAATTAAGGAATTTATCAGAATACTTAAAACGATGTGATATCACATTAATAAAACCTAATAAGTCAATAAGAACAACAATTCGTGTGTTAAACTCTATGGTAACTGATCCTGGACCTAAATTAACAAAAGCTATGGTAGGAATTAACGATAAATTTTTCAAAAATGTAATATTATACAATGGTAAAGTTATACAAATTAATACAGCACAATTTTATAGAAGTTTAGCTAATAACTTAAAAAATCGAATGATATGACTTCTAGTTCGTCGAATGTCAGTATTTCAAATGAAAAACATCGCTAGGAAAACGTTAATACTAATTGTACAAATATAATATAACTAATAGACTGTAATGAGATGACTTTAAATCCAAAAAGTTGGCATAGATAAAATGATGGTGAAATAGAAAATATAATATATGTTGACTCAAATATTCAAAATTTATGTCAGCAGTTTCGTTAAAATGAACACGATATAATTAAAAGCTTTAAAATTTTCAAAATAGATTTAAGACAAGGGGATTTCTAATCAATTTAAAACCACTTATCAAAGCAATTGCTACGATTCCTATTTCAACAAAACAAGTGAATGTGAACGAAATTTTAGTGATATGAATGAAATCATTACAACATTATAAGAACTTCATTATTCATTGAAACTACTGTTATACTGTTATTTATCAATTSCGTAGAACCACTTCTATCAGAATTCAACCCACAAAAGTATGTCAAGTCTTGGTTGTTAAAAGGCCGACATTCCGTTGATGACACTGACAGCCKTGAAAGAGAAAAAAATAAGTATAAATCATTATGGACTTTATYATAATAAATTAATTATTAGTACTTATAGGTAACGTTATGTATATCGTAGTAAGGTTATTGAAAATTTTAATTTTAATACATGACTAATTTTTAATTTTTTTGAATTTTTATAGTGAAATAACTAACTATTTATTTATTGGTGAAAACTATAATTTTAATATGAATATAATATATATCAGCTATATATACTTATATTAAAGATATATTTTTTACGTGTATTTAATAATAATGTAAAGCGTTCCGGTTCAGAAAGTTTTCCATTCAAAGCACTGGATTTATCTAACCATTACTAATGAGTAATGACTTTAATGTAAACATACATATATAATTGCACAACCAAAAACATCTTTGAGATTTAAAATCAAATCATTTTCAAAGCCCATTAGGATCCTGAATATGGCCAACATAATTTAAAATTAATTCCATAAAATGAAGAGATTATTTGGTAATTTAAAAAGAAATTTGATATTATTTACTAATTACGTGCTATTATTGGTAACCTTTATACCTTTGGAGTGGACTGTGGAAAGAGACTAGGCCAAGTTTTTAAACGTATTTTTTTTTTATTCTTATAAAAAGTGTTTAAAAAAATTTAACGAAAAACACACAAAAAATTTTTTTCATCATTATTAACTCCTATATAAATAAAAAAATTAAAAATTAATAATTGATTGCTCTACTCATAATCTAGTAATACGACTTTTATAATTAGCATAATTATTATTTACATTTTAATAAATGTGTGAACGTAATTTAATATAGTAGATAGGTATCATATATTTACATAGGTATACAGACACAAAAATTTATAATAGTTGTTGATTATAATTTATAACAGAATGCTATATTAAATTTATATCCCATTCCAAAATAATTAAAAATATATATTGAACATAAATAACATATGTTATGGATATACTAATAGGTAAATCGCTTACTACCAATAGACAAAATATAAACAATTATTTTTCATTAACCAACTTAAAATTAAAATTAAAAACTTATGAATTGTACTAATACTATTGTAAAAACGCAATCAAAATATAAAATCAAGCATTTGAAAAATAATTGATTATTAATTTAGTAAGTAGATGTACAAAATATAAAATAAAAACCCAAGTTTCCACGGGTCTTAAATAATAAAATAATAATACAAAAAAAAAAAAATAATAATAATATTGATAATAATAAAATACAAAATACGAAATATAAAAAAATACAAAATGATCCATGAAGGTTACTTGCCTTCTTAGTATAGCTATTGGTTATATATATAAAAACAAATGTTAGAATATGACAAATCAACATAAAAAATTATTAATTTGATGAAATAATACCAGTATAAAATAATCAACATTTATACAAATTTGTTGATATTAAAAAATATAATTGATCTGTGTACCTAAACTTCACTAAATTAAATATGCAACTGAAAAATACGCTTGACGTATTGATGTTATTAAAGAAAAATCAATTCTATTAGTAATTACAATGTATCATATTTGAAGTAATGTACAATTAGTAAACAATTATAAAACTTACTAGGTACATAATACAATACATTATTATGTTTTAATTAAAGTATTCAAATACTCATTGAAGTATTCTTCGTTAGGAAAATAGTAATTTAAATATAATTTTAAAGTAAACGAACAAGGTGCAACAATGGTAGTTTCAAAAATGAGTCTTAGTTTTTCTCTGAAACAACAGTAAAATTGTTTATATACATATATATATTATAATGATAATGGTTGTGARAGAAAATGTCAAATAAAAAATTCACTTTATTTTCTTCCATTTTTCGATAGCTGATTTATTTCTTTCACATCGTTTTTCATATCGGTGGACAATTTGATCAATAATTTCTGACACTAGATCAAGTTTGCTCTGAATCTTGTTGAAAACCTAAACATTTAAAAAAAAACATCGAGTTAATGTAACTATAATACTCAACGAATAAATGGTACTGAATTATTTGAAAAGTTAAGAGTAAAATCACACAATTTACGTGCATAATTAATAATTATGTAAAATATAATGCAAATATACTATTATATTATATTTTGTTGTTGATTAAGTATTTATTATCT